AGAAAAGTGATAATCAACGGGTTCGCAGTTACGCAGAAGTGGTGCTGTACGTGTAAATTTTATCGACCACCAAGAACTTCACATTGTGCCATATGCGATCGGTATGTTCGCTTCTGCTTGATGAACACTGCCGCTGTCTTACTTATTCCTGGCCTATAAATTAGCATGAACGGGTTTAATTTCTTCCTCTCCCCATTTTCATATTATAATATTCCTCCTTTATCTTTGAATATCTCTTTTATCTTTGTTCATTTTCACGCACTTGCAGCTACCCAACCCTCTTAATTTCTTCCAAAGTTGCATCAACTTCTGCTCGGATTTCGAGTGATTTTGGCGCAGTTTCCTCTAATTTTTTTATCTTCTGGAAGTGCTAATATGTGTATACATCACATTGTTTTACCTCGCATCCGTGGCAAAACCCTCTGTAGGCTGGCTGTGTTTTTGCTCCGTGTAGAAGTTTCTTTTCAGCTGTGTTGATACATTCGATCATCACTGCCCGTGGATTCACAATTGCATTGGCCGACGAAACTATCGCTATTTTTTCTTTTTTCTATTTCTGCTCTGCCTGCACATTATTTGTGTCTTCTCACTAGCACTTAGTTACACCATTCCCAATAGGTCAGTTCCGTTTGTGATTGTTATAACACTAATTTATTCTGTAATGTAAATGTTTGCTGTCACAGAAAAGCCGTAAAAAACCAAAATTTTGAGCCCTCAGCGAAAAGTAACGTACAATCATACCTGATTTTCGTAAGCAAATGTCAGTATAAAGGAAATATTTACCGTTGATTTTTTTTTTCAATTCGTAATTAAATTTAGGCCGAAAAATTAGTTTTTTTTTTTTTCATTTTGCGACTCATTTTTATTCTGGAAAGAACATTAGAGTGTGTTACGACAAAACGTTGCCACTGCATCAGATTGAAATTTTTGTTAATAAATCGAAAAAAATCAAAAAATTCAAGTTTGCTTTGCCATGTAATTTTTTTGTGTTTTCATTGCAGCGCGGATCTTCTAACAAGGCCAAATATATGTTCGATTGTTTTGATGGCGCTTTGTTTTCTGTTTGCTATACCCGTTTTTGGATTGACCGGATTTCATGTTTTTTTGATTATCTCTGGTCGCACAACTCACGAACAGGTAGGCGCTTGCTTGCTTTTTCACCTTTTGATCATGTCAGTAGCTTGCTGAAGTCCTTTTTCCCATCAAAATCCCCAAATCACCCTTCCACAGGAGATGTTTTGCACTTTTTTTCCCGCCAGATGCTT